ATTCTCTTCATAAAGTTTTCACTAGCCTATATAACTAAAAAAAAAAAAAAAAAAAAAAAAAAAAAAACTTCCCCCTTTTCAATAATTTCCGATGGAACTATTCTTCATAGGTTTAGGGAAAAATCTGAAATGCATTAAATACAAAACACTCTAAGTGGTATGTGATGGTATTTATCTGAAGCGTCACCAGCCACATCAATTGTCCACTTAATTGATTGCTATAAAAGCTCTTCCTTTGATCGAGACTATCAAACATTACACGTGTGCGCTGTTACCTCTCGACCGCAGGGTGTCATGAGATTACTTGATATTCCTCTCAGTACAGGTTAGTAAATTAATGATCCAGGAAAAGAGTTTTAACTCCTACAAAAAAACCCGTTATGTTTGAAGAAGGAAAAAATGACGTGTTTTAACCGGTACTTCATATATGAGTTTCAAGTGATTATAGCCTACTTATGTGTCTGTCTTTAGACTTGTTTTCGTGCGTTCCATCATTCCTGATTCCCGCGACCTACCTTCGCAGTCTCACTTCGACCAACAATCATGCTACATATTATAAATTCTTCTGAGTATAAATCCAAGGAATCATTACCTTATTTAACAAAGGAGTCATGGAGTGTTCCGATCACCAATTGACGGCAGATAATCTTTCAGCATCTTTATACAATACTCTAATCTTCTTTATTTAGTCAATTAGGAACAATTTTCCACTACGTTTTTTGAGTTAAGATTCGTATCGTAYTAGACAATAAGCCGTCGATGGAAATAATCAGCAATGTAGAAACTGTGAAAAAAATTACGACACACATCTGGCTTCGATAGAAAAGACTACGTGTATTTGAAGGCCAAGTTAATCATTCTGGATTCAAGCCGTTATCATTCTTGCTATCTAAATATTTGACTCCAACGCTGCACGTTCGCGTTTCGCAATATTTCAGCCCTCGTTCATCGCAATGGAGACAGAAGGCGCGCACACTCTTTTGTAATGAGGTTTTAATAATGAGGTTTTAATAGAGACAATTGTGGCTAAAACGCAACCCGGTACCAATAAATATAAAAATATTTWAAAAAATCATGTCTAGAATTAATTTTTCCCCCGCAATTTTGAATTGATGGTTTTCAACCACAGTCCCAAGAGAATTCAAAAGACACGGCGGCCGTGTTGGAGGATATAACAAAAAAATTCATTAATAATTCGTTTGTTATAACTAGTTCCTCCAACATGGCCGCCGTGAAAACCATCAGTTAAATATTAGAGTTGTCAAAATTTGGTTTTCTATGTCTCGAGCTTTTACTGGGAGATTCAAACGAAGAATGGCAAAAAAACTGGGAAATTTCAGGAGCTATTGGTGATTGCACCGTGTTGTCTTCATTGACTTTAACCGAAAACAAACGTGCTCCTTAGACACCAATAATGGTCTTAAAATGATTACCGCGTTCTGCTAATGGCATTGCTGATATCTAACACGTAATTGATCAATTAATCCAGTAATTTCGGTAGTAAAGTCTATCTGGATCAAATCGAAGAACAAAGTGGACATTAAAGAGATCTCAACGCACGCTCTAAAAATAACGTTTTCCAAACTCAATTTGTTCAATAAAAAATAATGATATCGGAGTTAGTATTAGAGGTTTAATTATGCAAACAGTTGTTTTCATTGATATAAATGCACGAGCTAAAGTGATCCTGTTTTGTACAGCCAATTTCCGATATGAGAGATAAAAGGAATCCAATGATAAAACGTGACAAAAATATACGACGACGAGAGAATTGATATGAAGAAAGGAAAAAGTGAACAGTATAGATCAGTTCCCACGCAATGTCAGCCAAAACTGATATACAATTCATCAACAGTGAAATAACTTAGCGACAGCGCATTTTTTATTATTATTGCTGCTGCAGCCAATCGAGGTACGCGGATCTCAACCAATCGCAAGGCTATAAGTTGCGACGTTTTCAAAATATACTTTGACAAGGAAATAGTTTTAGAAGCCTTTTCTGCTTCTTTTTTCAAACTAGAAATGAATTTTCGTAATCATTGTTTTTTTTCTGAATTAATAATTTTTGAAAGTGTTTTTAACAGCGTGCTTTTTTTATAAAACACTAGGCTACAACGAGAAGGGCATTCTCGGAAACCCAGGGTTAAAATTCTAATTCGAGCGACAGAATTTTACACGTGGCTTCTCGAGGATGGAAGAAGGGAATATCCCGACCGCGGGTTATGTTTTAAAAACACTTTACTCAGGATATTAATAAGCTGTATTACACAATCTAGGAGCATTGTTGTTATTCACTGAGTTGCAGCTTTAGTCAGTACTCGGTATATGCTGTATTTACATGAATTGTCGTTCGTGGGCAAACTTAGAAGACAAGTTTAAATTTACTTCTTCGGTATGTGTGCTGTGAGAAAAAATCTAACGAACTTATAGTCAGTTACTGAAGAATTTTAAGAATATAACAAAACCTATGTTTAAACAATTTGATTTTTAAGGAGGTTTGGTCGAAATATACTCTAAAGGTTCATATTAGTGTTATAAGTGTGTCAGGCTTCAAAAATTTTTATGTTTTCAAAAGTTATCTTTTTTTCGCTGGCACGTAGTCTTCATTAACCCACAAATCGTGACAGCAGCATGGAAGACCAATTTATCGAAATCCTGACGCTAAAGGCCGCAATTGATGCCAGACAATATTATTGATTGAATCTTGTTTAAGCTAGTGAATAGTAATAGCTTCCGTTATGTTAGCATTAATAATCATAATCCAACTATTACTAGCAAAAGCTGTAATAAAAGAGTAATAATGTGGTCATGTTTTATCGCGTATATTCAAATATTGACCACACCGTCGCCTTGGAGCACCATCACCGAAATTGGAAAAATTACAAATGACAAATGAAATTCTTAAAAGTATTTTTTTATCGGGCCATTTTCCTTAATCCCGTGTTTGTAATTACTGAGATTCTGCGGTATTCCAATTTTCTTGACACTTGAGCGTCCAGATGTGCCCCGGCATGGCTTCCGAATGCTCTAATGAGTTTTCAGCTCTACTCTTGATAACAGCATTGAACTATATGGTGAATGTTGTTCTTGTTCGAACTCTTTTCTTTCATTTGCTTGAATTAATGCTCCATGTTTTTCATGACTAGTGTTACTCTTGGTTCTCGAGCCTCATTTTCGCGCCATTTTTACAACTGTTCAGATGTGCACGTGCTTATGTCAAACGTGCGTGCATACGTTAGCGAGCAACTAGCCAATCAGCGGAGTGATAACCATCGCCCTTAGTGTTGTTTCCAGTTCAGAGACTGAGTTGCTATTAGGATTCGTTGAAGCAGATAACAAGATCTAGAGTAATCGAGACGTGAACTGAGCCGTTCCTAGATCACATTTGAATTGACTATATACAACGATAACAACACAGTCTTGAAAGTGTAAGTTTTTAATTACCAAACACAAGAACAATGCTCTCTTCATTTTGACTTTTTGCAGGCTGACATGATAGGCCGGGTGACACTGATTTTGATAGACATCTCAGAGATTAATAACGATATTTTTAGGTCTCAGAATAGTTCATCATTCATCAGGAACAACCGAGTAGGCAAAGTAAACGGTAGGTGTAGGAACATATTTCAGTAGAGGGAACTTTCTTCTTTTTACTGTATTCAGTATATTGTTTTGAGAAATTGCCTATCTTCCTTAAAGGTGAAGGTTTTTGCACCTCTTGTTTCATTACTATCAGTTTGAAAACTGATAACTGAATACTTTGAGTGGAAAAATGTTTTTTTTAAACTGGTATCAGAACTTCCATTTTTGAAAAACAAATTATAAATCAGCAACAACAACAACGACAAAAAAAAAACAACAAAAAACACCTATTTCTGAGAAAACGCAGTACAAAAAAAAAAACATTTCTGATTCTAGTGCTTCTGTGACTCTCGAACTAAACAAGTACACTCGATTTGACTAATTTTCACGGATTGAGGAGTATAAATTAGGTTCATACAGACTAGCAGTGTAGGTGCAATTGCAAGACGTTTGCGGGTTCTGCTCCAACTTGGAGAAAATCAGAAGGTAACTTGATAATAGTTTCCAAAACCCATTGTGAGACACACCGAAAGAATGTTTTGAAAAGTAGTCTGAACTCATTTGCCAGCATGGTTAAATTGTTTATAAAAGTCTCATATTTGTATGTGAACCTATGGTAAACTTCTCGTGCGGTTTTTGCTGGTTTATCACGTTAAAACTGTACATTTATAGGCGTCCACTGAGTGTACAAAACAGAGATAACGATATTTATTTCTAAAGTAGTCATCTAACTTCCGGAGCTCAAAAAACCGTTATGTGTACATTACTTGAGTAGAATAGGAATCGTAATTGCTATGCGATAGGGTGAACTTAATTTAACAAGCAAGCAGTGACAAGTTTATGCATCCGTAGCACTGTCTAGCTCTTGACTAAAGCACTTCAATGTCAAAACTTTTGAAACTCATCATTGGTTAATGCTATGGGAGGGGATTGAAGCAAAGACAGTACACGCCTTCTATATAGCCAAAATCTATCATCGGCTTCTTTATTTTAACGACTAATGTACCCCTCCTGTCTCGTTACATGCCCTCGTAATTACATGCAAAACAGCCGCTCCACAACATGCCGTGTTCTATTCTTAGAAAGTATGTTTTTCTCAGTAAAAAAAGAAGTCGAAGGTGGGATTTTGATGCGTTAATCCTACTTCTATAAAGAAATACCTCTTGAAATGACTTTGTATTATCTTAGACAATAGTTGTAGTTTTTTAAGCTTACAGGGCCATTTATCTTGCCCTCTTTTTGTCCTAAGGCACTATGCCAAAGAAATTAAAGACGACTGCTGTTCTAGCTGGTTCAAATTTTTCTTACTTTCATCGGGTTTTCGAGCAGAGTTTTGTACATATATTGTAAAGAGTTGCATTGGGTCAGTTTGCGTATTTTTGATGGGTAACATACATGACGCTTGGAACAACAGGAATAACTGATCAACATACGCGCCGAACAGTGATCAAAACAAGTAAGCAAACGGCTTTAATTACTATTAATTGCACCAGACTCTACCTAGACTTCCAGAACCAATACCTTTTTATTTTCATAAGATTTTAAATTATCGTACGGAGGAGCTCATTGGTTGGATGTTACATTCGTTTCATCAAGGCTTCTGTATGGATTAGAGTACAGCCTGGGCTGTCACATTAATTGATCCCGCAGGATTTTTTTGATTTTATTCACGAATTCCTTTTGTATTTCAAAGATTCTGAACAGACGATCATAGTTAGTATAATCTCTAAAGGTCTAACCTGAGACACAGAGGCTAAGGCCCGTGAATGACGAACAATAGGTGACGTCAGTAGTTCTTTTGTATTGTGGTGCTTTATTAATGATTCCCAGAGGTTGACCAATTACAGCTCGTTAAAATATAAATAAACTGAGAAAGAAACACAGAAAACTGGCTTTGTCATTCACTCGACAAACACACATGCTGTACTAGTGATCATTGAAGGATGGCGACAAATTGTTAGCCATACTCGCGCGAGAAGCCATTACTAGTATGCTGTACGCACTCTTTCAATATAATATCTGCAACCATTTTGTAAGGGAATGTTAGAAAGCGTGAGCGAATATGATCGCGCCACTTTCCGGATGTGCGCAGCGAGTTATTTGATCCCACGGCTTGTATCCATCCTTGTCAAGCGCCTGTCAATAAAGCCTATTCTAATTAATGTTGCTCCATTGGCCTCATTGTTCATTCCTTTACACTTCATGCGCAAGGTCATTCACTCGCGAATAAGTCGAGAACTAAGATTTCTTGTAAACTCTTAATAATCTTTCAGCTAGTCCGTTCTTCATCAGCACTGACACTGCCTCGAAAGACGTAACTGTGTAGAACATCAAAACATTCTACGAGGATCTCCAACAGAAGTCGGACTCAAATCGGTGTGTGGGACTTAAAAAGTTCTCTCGTCCTCAGGAAGTGAGAAAATTCTTTCTCGTCCTCGTGTTCTCTACGATCAGATTAAGCTTCCGTCACATCGTCTCAACTTTATCAGAGTCTTTAGGTTTATTACTCATGATAGTACGATCAACTGAAGTGTCAGAAACGAACAGTGTGTCTCTTGGTAGGTGTTGCATTCTTTGGCGAACTTCATGAATAATTCTACCTTCACTTAATGTAAACACCTCTGAACGTGACTCTTGTTAAGCTAAACAAATTCATGTTCATGGTTGAGGAGTGAGAGGTTCTTTGTATTACTAATACTCCTCGTTTCACGGACTCATACAAGTTTCTTAACTTTTAACAGGAGCGCTATGATGATGCTCAGAGGAAAAACAGAACAAGCTTTGATATAACATCACACAGGGACCAGTACTCAATCGATTTTCGACCGCAATGGGCTCAACATCAAGACCCAAAGCATACCCATCGTGGTTTGTTTTGGTAAGCTTAGTATTAATACAAGTTCTACTGCAATCTCGGGCTCAAACAACAAGCTGTACAGGTAAGATTTGATAGAAGTAACGTCAATAACAAACATAACCAACGCATCGCTCACTGGAGGGAATTAACTCTCCTGTGTTTTATAATTTTCGTAACCAAGGAATGCATTATTATCAGAATCATTCGCAAGACTCTAGGCGCCAAATCGCTAAGCTTCGGCCTTCATGTCGCGGAATTCGTAATGATTATTTATTAGATGTAAAGGTTACTAGATTTCAAGTGAAAATCAATTATCTTGTCCATTTCAAATTAGCTGTATCTTATGCCCTAACACATCATTATACTCGTATGTGGGTATGATAGCTTAGCGTGTGGTGTTCCTATTCTCTGACTTCGACATTTTTATTACTAAAGTCAGCAGCTATTCAGAAATAACTTTAAGTGATCTTTGTGAACGCCGACAAGAAGTTATTGCCCGATATTAGGTGAATTTCTCGAGGCTGTGCTTACGTAAAACAAGCGGAGTGTTTTCGGAAAGATCACGGCCGCACTTAGGGGGTGCCAAATCAAGACCACTAGTTTTATAATAATGAATAATCACAAACTGTTTGACACGCAGGATCAATCTCAGAGACGTCCATCTCTTTAATAATAAAGTAAAACGATCATAGCTTTCATCCTTATTAGTATGAAGACAGTCTTTTATAATTATTATTATTACAATAAACGGTAAAAGCCGCTTTCGACACTAAGTTAATGAACTGTTTGGGGCAAGATTTCTGAAAACATTCACATAAAGGAAAGTCACTCAGTCACGACCGAGTCCTTTGTTTAAAGTCATTTAGATCTATTACCTTTTCTGCTAGCGGCTGAAATTTATTTTAAACTTAGAAATTATGTTTATTTATAAATAAGTTTACTATCGTTTCGAGTAAAATAAATCTATCGTACAAGCTGTGTAAATGCATATCGATGAATATTAAATATACAACTCTCTCGCTGGAGGTAAAATTGACCCTAGCAGGGTTCACAAAGTTACGATTGAATTCTAAAGGGGCCAAGTAATCACTTAAATATGCTTTTATTGTACCGTCCTGTTTCATACAAAAGCCCCGACTATTATCACCAGAACAGATGAATTATTTGACCCTACATGTTATGGTCAAGATGCCGAAATTTTAAAGCGAGAATTTGGCAATAAGATGTTCATGCGCTTTGATTTAAGAACATTTGATCATTTTAGCTGCTTTCTAGCTGTGTTTTGATCAGCATTTAGAAGCAACAATTGAGATACGTTTAAATAATGTAATTAGGTTGTGACCCACTATAGAAGGACTGCGGGTAGTCCAATCACGGCCAATTGAAGATGAGACAACTGACACTGGAAAAAGCAGTTTTTTTTTTTTGGGATCCACAAATATTTACCAATGTTTATCCGCCCAGAACACCACAAACTATTCAATTGAAGACTACTCTTTCAACTAGAGTTCTGACAGCACATGCTGAGCGAATGCATGCTTCTAAAAATGTCTCCTAGTTAACAGGACGAGACATGTCGTTACAAGATTTATTAACTTGAACTTTTCATGGACTTTCCAGGTAACTGAAGCTTAAGGTTTCACCGGGCTTTCGAATGATGCTGAGATTTTGTTCTTAAATGTAAACGTGCCAAAACTCTGACAGTTCTGCTATGCCCTCAGTGAAAAGTTAAAAGGAAACGCTTTTGTCTCCAACAAGGAAATGCCTCTCCATGACTGTCAATCACCCACGTCTTCCAACTGTTCTTATTCCCTTCTCTGTTCCGCAGACTTCAACCTAAACCTAGTAGGAAGCCTTTCCTCTTATACCTACTCATTTGCAACATCTATACTTTCCTATGTCTTGATATTTTATTACTTCGAGCAAAAGTAAGGCGAACAAAGGTGGTACACTAACGTTTGTCCTGTCTTTCTGATGAGTGACATCTATTGTTTCCTATTCTTTAGGCCAAGAGCTTTGGGTATTTGTTTTAGCTTCGATAAGTCAAAAACATTTCTACCATCGGGTGCTAAAAGCTATAAACGATAACACCAGAACTTCAAGTAATTGTTTTCGCAGAAAGATTTTGTTGTTTTAGCATCCTTGATGTTTGTGAGATTCCTAAAAAGCGTCAGTTGTTGCGTTGTTAATGGAAAGGTCCCCTTTATAGATGCTTTATCGCAGTTTCATATTCAGATAGTGTTGATATTTTGTCTCATTATTTTCTTCAATAATATTGAATTATTTGTAACCTTTCCCATCTGACGCTGCCTAATCGCTATTTTCTCGGAATATCCGATTTTTCCAGAATCAATGCAACAAACAAATCTTCCATTTGGAAAATTTCCAAAATTATAAAATCTAAAAGAACTATTTAATAGCAAAAACGCAAGTCTATTTCATTGGTGTTTTTTCCCCCCGTCATTATAAATTTATGCCAGAAGATGATACTGAAGACGTTGCACAAGACATTGGGGAGAGTGTTCTAAAATTAGTCCTAGGTAACACCTAGAAACGTATTTCTGTTTTTGCTTCAACAGAAACATTCCATCATCGCTTGTTATCATAAACTCTGGTCAAACTCTAGCAGCTTTACTAAAATTCCCAGACTTAAATGTTTATTTTTTCAAGCATATTACTTGGGTCTCTGGGTCACAATAATAACGTGATGTTTCATAAATTACTTCAGAAGGGGGGCTGAAGCCAGGCYAACTCCAAACAGAGATGGAGTCAATTGTCTTTCTCTGTACTAATTACCTCTTTCTTGCTTTAGTTTGGGCAGAGATCTAATCGGTGAACTTGGAGATAGATAGTTTTTTTAAGTGTCATCGCTCTCGAGTGCCTTTCGAAAGGGTCAGTTTTACAGCTYGAGACTTGACACTAGTGAACCTTAATGCACACTTGTGATACCTTTGTTATTGTTTCATGTTTCTATTGTTCCGAAAATACTTATGTATTGTGTTCCTCACTAAATCCAGTATCAAATACAATAGGCTCTCACTTTGGAAGAATTTCCCCATGTTTTCAAATTAATCGATGCTATTATCTCAGAAAAAAACTGATTGAATGACTCGTGGGTTGTTTTCGTCATTTTGAGGGGAAATCACTCGAATACTAATCTCCGGTGTTTGTCACCAATTATCATTTGAACATGCAGCTGTTTGTAAAATATACACACAAAAATCGTTGACTGGTTTTATTTGTTCAACATTTCTTTCCAAAGCAAGCACAACAGAATGAAAGAACCTTGCAACCATAACATACGGACTCTATCAATCGTTTAGTAGTTAACACGTCGAGACAGAGGAAAATCAAATCCAACCCGTCCACGTGGTCAAACTCCAGGTATTAAACTGCGTCCTGGGACGATGTGACCTTGGTTTCATCACTAGATATCAAAGCAGACGTGGAGTCCATTATATTTGTCCTATCTTGACTCGCAAGACAATGGAAACACCAAAAGATGAAAACTGATCGCATTCAAGTGAGGAGTGATAGAAAACGAAGAACATAACATCTGTTGTGCAACCATGAAACACCTTTTTTTGTGGCAGAAATTAAAAAAAAAAAGTATTTTGGAAACGGCTCTTTTTGGATATCTTCAATTAGAATTGTTTACTTTTTGATTCGTATTTTTATGCATAAATTTACCTAAACAAATTAAACACTAATGCAATAGAATTTCTTAACCATAAATTTAAAACTGCTGCAAAAATGCATTGACCTTCTTTCGAATTTACTTCTTTCAGAGACAAGAAGGAATACTTTTAATTGCTGCTGATACCCAGCAGATTACTGTTTCTCTTTTTGTAAGACTTTTATAATTTGCAGGATGAAAAGAGTAAATTCTAATCACTTATGATGGTCTTTCTTTTTTCACCTTCACCTTATTTCACCTTCAAATAGGAATTACTACAGTTACAAATCTTTTTGTATATCCCACCACGAATATGGTAACAAATACGACACGTACGTTCTGCACTGGTTTTCGGAAGTGTACCTGTCGCTATGAATCGATACAAATATTTTTTCTTATGCTGTTTTAGATTTTCTAATGATGGATTTAATAACCATTTAAAAACAAAACAGATTGCTTCTACTTTTGCAGAGCAAAAAAACATCCTTCCTTCCTAAACTAAAACTATAGTTATCAATTACAGATTTCTTGAAAAATTAAGTTTGTTTATTATTTGGTGAGTGTCAGAGGTTTATTTAGAATTGCCCCCAAACACACTAAACAAAGTCAAGTAGTAAGCTTAAAGGCGTCAAATTATTGCCACCAGTAGTTTTTAAACTCCAAAATAAGCCTTAAATCCACAGAAATATTTGGAGTCAGTCAAGACTAGACTATGAGGATCCATGCTACTTAATTAATTTACACCCTTGTAGTAATTGAGTCAGACAAWTTGTCTCGGGATTGTTCGCGATAGTTATTAATGTTGAAGTGACACTACCATCAAATTTCCGTTTTTTCCTCAATCTTGAGATAACATCGTTAAATAAAGGATTTCAAACATGCCGGAATAAACAACTGAAAAGCGACTTGTAATACTAAGCCTGTGAACAACTTTCACCTTGAGAACAGGGTTGATAGACTTTGTACACTTGATCGAAGTCCACTGGTCGCTTCTAAGAGTGACCTTGTGGATGAAAAGACCTGTCGATATCGATTTGACATGGTCGCTTCTGAGAATGTCTCATGGGAAAAAGTTCTAATATTTAGACCTGTATAAACCGATCACATTTAATGTGCAATAATTTGTGGTCGCTTTTGAAAGTGGCAAAGTCAATATTCAAACCTTTTTATATCGTCCACTTTTGAAGCAAGAATAGTGGATAAAAAAGATAAGAAAGCCTATTAATCTAGAGACTTTTCATCTTTTTGTATCAACTGTGTGAAATAAAATGCTTGTTTTGGGCGGTGTTGATTTACGAAACTTGTCTGGCTCAATCGTTAGACGATCTTAGGAGATAAGGGAACAAAACCGTCCCATACTATTACACCCATCACATTATTAATCCTCATTATATTTTTGTGTTATTATGAAATAATATGGTCTTTGCTCAAATTGGACGAAGAATTTGGCACACCTGCCACAGTGGCATTTGCTTCAAAGGGTTCTGGTCCGATACGATCGCTCTGTACAAAACTATTCACTAAATGTTTACGATTTTACACGTGTTATTAAAAGCAGTTCTTGTATTTCACTGATAAGTCAACTTAATATGAGTGCAGATGATCCGGTATGAATGATATCATGACGAGCATTCCACTTTGCCGGCAACCTCATTATCTACCTCTTTCAGGGCTATATATAGTAGAATAATATTTATTAACTATTTGGAGACTCTTCCAAAAACAACAAAGCCTAAGGTTACTAGATTAAAATATTTATCAATCAAGAATAAGTGCGGATTTCGTAATGGTATGAATGTTAACGATTTTTTCTTCAAAGCTACCAAGTTTATGGTTTTAAAGCTAACTTATACTATTATTACACTATATACGAATACACTGTACAGTAGAAAAATGGATACAATTATGAGTCCCTTCAAAGAAATAAATTATTTCCCTTGTTAGTCATCGGAAAACCCTTAGCTCGATTTACAAACAAAACGAAAAAATTTCTGTTCAAAAGAATCCAATTTTATATTGATGATTTAAACTTTTTCCGTCATGTAGCGTTTTTATTCGTTATCTCTCGACATTTTGTATAAATATCCCTCCTGACCCAGCTTTTATTAAGGCTACTATACTACTGAATGCCATATCACTGGCCTCCAGGTGGAATATCGRTATGTTGGAGTGTCTCTAGATTGCAAAAGCAGTTGATAAGGTCAATATTGCTGGAATATTCTACGCAATCGAGACAGGAGTGCTCCTTCTTAGTCTAGTCAGCCAAGCGACATACATTTTAATTATTTTTAACTTAATCTAGATATATTTTGCATTCTTTTGGGAGTTAGCTCCGACACTAAAGCCGTGAGTTTGGAAATAATTTCTCGCGCATGTCATGTACTAGGCTAGTCACGTGGTTCGTAAAGTATGTTGGAAACTGCTTGCATCCTGTCCTCAGGGGCGCCTTAATCCCTCTAGAGAGGAGAGTCTCTCCCTTGTGGTGTGGAATTTACTAACACGCAATAAAAATCTTTGTAAAGTATTAGCAAAAATGAATTTCTAGGAATTGTGCTCTGAATTTAGATGCAGGTGTTTAGCCATGTTAATAAAAAGAACAATTTTGAACTCGGATGTTTTTCGAAAAAAAATCTAATTTCCATGTAAAATCGTTAAGATTTTTCAAAGTTTGTGTTTTTCTCTCTTATTGTATCTTTGTTCTTGTTTATGTTGATTGGCATTTAGCTGTTAGAAAGTATGAACTTCGTGTGTGATACTACCGCAAGCGCGCTGTGAGCATCATTAGGGTCCATGCTATCCCGTGTGGAAGCTTTGTGCAAAAACGAACAACAGCAGACGAGAATGATCAAAATTCTTCTGAAAATATTCGACTTGAAAATGATATCGGATGTCCATCTCTTTGACCATTCAAGTAAGAAAAGGAAAAGGAAAAAAAACAACAAACAAACAAACAAACAAA